AGGCCACAGAAACATGATCCCTCCAGTCCCCTGACCCCATTCATCTTGTACATTGTCCTCACTCTCAGAACACAAGTGGGGTTGGGCCAAACTCAGCTCCAGTTCACGACTGTGGAGTCCACACACTCACAGCCAACCCTCCCCTTTCTGCTCCAAGGCAGGAAATTGGACAGCATCCTGTCAGGTGATTTACAGCCTCTGTAAACCCGCTGGAGGGTCAGCTGTGGGTTGGTCCCGAGACCACGGGGAGTGAGTGTCCCTTAGTCAGCTCCGCTCCACCTCGGGGCTTGCTGTGTGGTCAGGGCGCCCCGCCTGGTTCAGTCCCACTTAGCCGCCTTGGCCAGTGTCCTTGTACAGACACCTGCCTACATCTCTTACCTGGATTCCTTTCTCTAGATGGACCAGCGCTCTAGACCCGTTTATTCCTGCTACCTCCAGTTCCTTCTCCGAGCTGTAGCCAGAGCCACCCACCCGTCATGGGGTCTGAATGTGGAAAGAGGACAAAGGCAGCTCTTACGGGAAACCTTGTCCTAGCATGTGAGTTCTTTGGGGAAGGGTCATTTTTCACTTGGTTTTGCCTCATCTTGAATCCAAAACACTTAGCAGCTTTACAACACAAACTGTCGCCCCCAGCCCCAAATAACTAGACACACGTTGTGTGTGGAGGGAGTTGTTAGGTGCCGTGGAGTCCACTACTCTGACACCCTGCTGACAACAGGTCTGGACCAAAGAACGGGATGTGAAGCTTCACCGTCGCTGACTCTAAGAGGACTCTCACTGCACTTCTTTCCAGACAGACTTGTTTGTTCTTCTGCCAGTCCGTGGGATAGTCAATATTCTTCACCAACACCCCAGCTCAAAGGCATCGATTCTTCTGTCGTCCTTATTCATTGTCTAAACAAGATGAATCTTAGTCTTTAATAGCAGGTGCATATCAACTGTGTGTCAGTGTTGCAACAAATTGGAAATAATGTAAGGCCTATCGTGGGTGAGCCACACAGAGCTGGTGAATGAATGAATGAGCTGCCTTTTTCTGGGGAGTCCTCCCACAGGTGCCACCTGCCTTGGCTGTGTCCTCGCTCTGGTCCAGCCCCTCCCTCCTGACCTCCCCTGATCGCGACAAGCTGTGTCTGAAGCGTAGAGAGCACAGGAGTATGAGCTTCACGCATCCTCCTCGCTCCAGCTGTCCTCAACTGAAGCGAACCTTATTTGATCTCTGTCCCCCCTCGCACCTTCTATCCCAGTGAAGCCCCTTTGCATTCATTTAAGCAAGTCTAATAGAGACTCTAGACATGCCTGGGTGACGTGAATGTTGGGTCAAAGCCATCTAGAGGTACTCCGGAGTAAAGGCCTGGCGACCAGCCTCTGGAAGGTTGTAACCTGGAGACCAGAGTAGAGCACAGTTCTCCGCTAATCAGAATCAATTTGGTGGCAGCTGGTTTGGTCTTGTTTTTTTTTGTGTGTGTGTGT